GCGTACGGCCTCAACGACCTCACCACCATGTCCATGCACCTGCTCTTCAAGATGATGAAGGAGGACGACGCCGTGTTCAAGAAGTACTGGCGCTTCGCCGGGGGACTCCACGACCAGCATCCAGCATGTGACGCCAAGTGCAAGAAGGAACGGCTGTGCATCATCAGCACTCAGGTGGACGCAGCCATGGAGGAGTGCCTCGCCGGCGTTGGCCAACTGCTCGCCTCGCTCGGTCTCGTGCTGGCCGCCGGCCTGCTCGCCCGACTCGCCGCGTAGCGCGCGGAGCGAGGCGCCGACCGAGCGCCGCGCCGGCCCGCTCCCGCACAGGGCGCGAAGTTGAGACGTGCGCCGAGGCAGCGAGGGGGGGGGGGGGCTTACGCCAGCTGAAACGTGGGTCGAAGCGGGGGGGGGGAAGTCAGCTGAGACGTGCGTCGAGGCGGCGAGGGGGACATCGAGTGAGACGTGCGTCGAGGCGGGGGGGGGGGGGGGAGTCAGCTGAGACGCCAGCTGAAACGTGGGTCGAGGCGGGGGGGGGGGAGGAAGTCAGCTGAGACGTGCGCCGAGGAGGCGAGGGCGGGCGCGTCAGCTGAGACGTGCGCCGAGGCGGCGAGGGGGCAACACGTCAGCTGAGACGTGCGCCGAGGCGGTCGCGCGCTCACTGGCTGGCACGCAGAGCAGGTCGACTCACGCTGACGCGGCGCCGGAGCGCTAGCCCGGCTCGTGGCGCGCCGGCGGTGGTGGATGAGCCAACACAACCGGCGTCGCTCTGTTCGCGGCGAATGAAAGGGGGCGGCGTGCCTGTTTTCGAATATCCTCATTGTCACTGCGATTACGTCCAGACGAGATGAGTGACTTCCTTCAGAAATCAGAGCCCGAGCATACCGCATGCAGGCACCCGCGAGCTATTGCCATTTCTGTGTCCGACGTGATGAACGTGCGAACATACCCATACAGCATGCCTAGCCCATGTTCGCGCTTCGTGTCTGCAACGCCACACCCGAGAGCCGGCGCCTGCCCCCCGCTATCTGGTGTGGCGCCGTCCGCTGCGTCGGACCGGCGGCCGACGCTGCTCCGGCTCTCCATCGGCCGACGCTCTGCCGTCCGGGGCGCCGCCGCGCCGCTGCCATCCCTGGGCTGGCGACGCGACACGGCGGTCTCGGCCGCGTGCCGCTCGTCGTCAGCTCGCGAGGGGGGGGGGGGGGCTGCAGGGCACGCGGCGTCGGGCCCGCCAACCGCTGAACGCTGCTTCATTTGTACCTATGTTTGCTTGTTCATGTTCGCGTCGATTATCACACCTGGTAGTGACAAAACGCTTGCGGAGGAGTGCCGCTGCACGCGGCGCGTGAGTGAGTGGTGAATGAAGGTAACGGGAGACTCCCCATCCCTCTTGCGGAGGGGTGCCACATCACGCAGTGCGTGGGTGGGAGCTGAATGAAACGTCGGGGGACTCCCAACCACTCTCTTATGCCAGCTTTCAAAGAGAGCGGAAGTCGATGCAAAGGCTTACAGCTACGCACTGTGAACGACGCGTCTCGATCTTGCGGCCAAAGCCGCGGGACAAGGCTCCAGCGCAGGCGTACATTAGCACATCACGGATCTATCTATGCTGTCGTGTAACGTGATCAAATAAAGCGACGGAAGCCATGCGCGTGTGCGCAACGCCTTCGACCACACCGCTGTGTGTCACACCACACCGCATCAGAGTCAGCTGGCAACTGTGCGCGAGCTGAGCGGCAGCCTAACACCCCACCAGACGCTTTGAGACCAAACACCTCCCGGAAAGATGAGGTGCTCGACGAGCTGTGCACGGTTGCCACATGGCTGTGTCGCGCATCATTCGAAACTCAGTACTAAATGTCGCACGCTTCGGTATCCAGTGGCCCGTGGTCAGGACGGACCGATTCCGCCAATGTTGGCGTTAATGAGAGAATTCGGGCCAGATGGTTGGCTAGTTTGACTAGATGACTAGTTTAGCTGGATGACTAGTTTAGCCAGCGCGGCAGACGAGTGACTAATTCAGCCACCTCTGATCATCCTCTCAAAACTTTTACTCGGTGCGAAAATTTAACATACATTGATCAAAATATTTGTGCATAAGCGCTGAATTAAGCGCCAAATATGTTTCGGCTTCATAAACAAAATGGAACTTGAATGTGTGATGGAGCCCTTGGTATACATGAATGTGCTACAGCCGTTGGAACAGCCGGACGGTGTGCTGAAAGCCAGACATACTGAAGTGCCTGAGAGCAGCTGGACTAAATGCAGCCTCCAAACCAGTCACTATGCGTTTGATCGCTGTTGCTCGAGCAGACATTCGCCCCAGACCGAGCTTCCAGCAATGCGGCATCTGCCGCTGTCTGATTTCCTCCGCACAGATGGTGTCCCCAACAAAGGCGTACCGATAACTGTCTCATTCTCCCATCAGGTGCGTACCGACAAACGTCTCATTTTCTCCCCAAAGACAGGGTACCCAGCAAATGAGTGCTCCCCATTGTCTTTTTCTTTCCAAACGGCGCCCCCAGGACGTGAACGTGATTCGCCCAACCAAAGGCCAAAACCCAATCTTAAAATCAATATTTTTACAGGAGGGTTTCTTGTTTTATTCAAATACTGTATCAACAATCCAGAAAACAGCATATTCTCGCAATGGCAATGAGCGTTGACACGAGCCACCACGATACGTGGCTACTAAGACGGCTCGCTGGGTAAAGCGGGCACCCCCGCGGGCTCCTGGCGCCACCACCGATGGCGAACCACAGTTGCTGCTCGCTGCCACTAGACGCCGCGTCGGGCGGCCCACGATGGAAGGCGGCCAGAAACTGATAAATGTATGTAGCGGGGCCCGAGCTCCTCAGTTTCTTATGCCGGGTCGGCATGTATTTCAAATCTAGCCCTACAGGAGGGTCTCAGAGGTACCCTAAGGTTTTACAGAGTAACTTCTGAACGACATTGAGCACAGGCCAAAGTTTAGAGTACGCGCGGCCTTCCCAGTTCATATGGTTTTGGGGCTTCTCAACTACCTCGGTTATTCATGACGTCTTTCTGAGGGCCAAATTGGTGACATTTAGCTCAGAAGTGCAACGCACATTTCTCGCAGGAAATGCAATTCAGAGGTGCTTTAGACTGCTTTGCATCAACATGTGCATTGATATCGTTCCGGTTGCTTTTAAAAGGTCAGGTAACTCAGGGACAAGAGACGTCAAACTTTACTTTCCAGACTTTTTCCAGATTTGATCTTTTGAAGATCGCAGGATTTAATCCTTCATGGCACACACCTCAGAGTTTTAAAAGACTACTCTAACACGTTCTATCCTAGCCGGCTGGATCTTGGCTCGGCTCGGCTCGCGCACACGCCGTCTCGGCGCGCTGCGTCCATCATAATGCCACAGCGACACGCACAAGCGGGCGCCTAGATAGACACTGCCCGCCTCCGCGGGCTCGGGCACCAGTCAGCTGATTACCCGTCAGCTGACCTGGCGGGTCGGCGCCCGAAGGCTTGTGTCATGACATAAGGCTGTGGGGCTCCTTCAAAACATCATGATGCGCCCCATTGATGTGACTTGCTTAATTATCGGTACAGCCGTGCGAGTTAATGCAACGGTGACCTCACTCTATTTGACCTGCAGTGACATATAACAGATCGCACATTTCGGTGTACACTATTGCCAATCTGATACGTTTTCTGAGAGCTATTCAACGCCGCTCTCCGCATTGTCCAAGCTGCATGCTCAGTTCTTCAGATGACAGGAGGGGTCTATCGAGAGCTAATTTGACTCCGATAACCTGATTTGGCCCGCCAAACGTCACGTTCACCAGTGTTAAGCCATACAAACCTGATATAGGTTTCAAATACCATATTCCCCTGGCTCTAGCTTGCTTAAGTTTTACTTAGATCTCATAGGAGCGTGTCACACAACCTTTTCCAGCGAGGTTGAAAAGCGCACGCTCGTAGGGCGATGCTTCCTTATACCCGACAGTGTGTTTCGGTGTCCTGCTCCATAAAGCGGTACTACGCGGAGCCGCCAGCAGAGCAGGACAGGACGGCTGACCCGCAGGCACCGCGCCAAACCCGCGGTCCACCCCTCTCGTCGTCAAAGACCTCCTTTAGCCGAACACCGACGCTCAAGAAACGGCTGGAACAGCCCGGAGTCGGGACCACCGCCAGGCATTAGGTGGCAAAAGAGGAACTGTCAATGTTGATCGTCACTTTCCAGATACGATCGCTTCCCTGTGAATGGCAGCATCGCCTCATTTCCCCCTCCGGCAAATGCGGCGATGTCAGCACTGAATACTACCGAAGGTGCTCACTTCAAAAAGGACCACCGATCCGTGCCCACCACTCTCTCACAGCTCCGTCTCAGCAGTTCCCAGCACGTGTGAGCACTTCCCACTGTCGGGGCAGTGAGTGGTGTCGGAGTATTCACCACTGTCGTAGTGGTGAGTTGTATCGGGGCACTCACCACTGTCGGAATGGTGAGTGGTGTCAGATTACTCACCACTGTCGGAGTAGTGAGTTGTATCGGAGCACTCACCACTGTCGGAATGGTGAGTGGTGTCAGATTACTCACCATTGTCGGAGTGGTGAGTTGTATCAGAGCACTCACCACTGTCGGAATGGTGAGTGGTGTCAGATTACTCACCACTGTCGGAGTAGTGAGTTGTATCGGAGCACTCACCACTGTCGGAATGGTGAGTGGTGTCAGATTATTCACCACTGTCGGAGTAGTGAGTTGTATCGGAGCACTCACCACTGTCGGAATGGTGAGTGGTGTCAGATTACTCACCAATGTCGGAGTGGTGAGTTGTATCAGAGCACTCACCACTGTCGGAATGGTGAGTGGTGTCAGATTACTCAGCACTGTTGGAGTGGTGAGCGGTGTGAGGGTACTCACCACTGTCGGAGCGGTGAGTGGTGTCAGAGTACTCGCCACTGTCGGAGTGGTGAGCTGTATCGGAGTACTCACCACTGTCGGAGTGGTGAGGGGTGTCGGAGTACTCACCACTGTCGGAGGCGCTGGCTCCAGGCGGCCGCCTCGTGGATGAGGTAGCCCGGCGCCACCAGGCCGGCCGCCGCCATGAGCCGCTGGTACACCGGCTGCCAGTCCAGGTGCTCCACGCCGCCGCCGCACGAGACGCGCTTCACAAACTGCGGGTTGTGGTTCAGCACCTCGCCCGTGGCTGCGGGGACGGGGCGAAGTTAGATTCAGCCGACGACACTGGGTCCAGTAAGGACATCTTCATGGCGGGATATGTTACACACGTTTGCGGTCTGTCGGTGAAAGACACATTTTTTTACATTCCGCAGCTAAAATCCAGGGCATTGGGACCGTAGGCCTTGAGCGGTCTAGGGAAGCTGTCACTGCGACCACGAACAGGCGGCTTTAAAACTGCGGTCGGAAAGCAAAGTAACCGGCAGTGTTTTTCATGATATACCTAATACGGCCTGGGAGGCGAGATTATTTCCCAGAAAGGCTTGTGTCAGACCCACCCAAATCGCACCGGTCAGCCTGTCTGTCTCGCTAATAATAATCTCGCTAAATCTCGCTAAAATAACTGCCTCGTTATCTGGAGAGGGCAAAATTGTTGTCCGGCGCCCGGTCGTGAATAGTATTTCACAGTCAGCGGGCACCGCCGCCACCAAACAAAACGCCGAGCCAGGGATGAGGTCATTTGTTTCCTACTCTTCTTGCACCTATCTATACGCTTCTACATAGTACCTCATGAAAATAACTACTTGAAAAAAATTTATTTGCCCAGAGCCGATACGGTTTGGCTCGGAAACTCTTTGTTCGGCCACACGCGGCAAGCTCAGATTCTGAAAGAGCGGGGCTGACGGCGCACCCCTGGTGTCCGGACCCGGAACCAATACACAAATATCATAGTTCTTCAAGATGGCGCTCTGGGCTTTGTCTTATTCATGCTATTGACCGATGACTCGCACGTCGCTATCATTTAATTCGCCGATGACACACATATGCTCGCCAGCAGGGAGAAGAGCGGCTCGCAACAGCTCATCACTAGGATGAAGTGTACCATCAGCGCCTTGCATAAATGGTTTTGCAACAACCGCATGAAGCTCAACACTGCGTGCCACCGCGTGGATTTAAGGTAAATACATTGCCACCGCCACACCTACGATTCATCCGCGTACTCGGCCCGGGCCCTACATCTGTTTATGCTCGGAAGACCACAGGCTGGCGGACAGTCCTGGGACGCTACATGCCACCGGACGCCAGATCCCCCGGCTGTGAGGTGGGCGCGGACTTCAGGACAACTTACGCTGTGGGGATTTGGAATTAGCTTTAACGCGGAGCAGCGCGACACAAAACACTGCATCGTTAACTTCTCGCAGACGCTGGAAACTGCGATTTTGTTTAGTTTTTAGCGCACGTGGCCGTGCAAAAATTTGACCACCGTGACCGTGTGAAAATTTGCCACTGGTCAGTGATACAACACGCAGCCAGCAGCAAGTAAGAAAGCGCGCGTAAACTCGTCTACTCACTCGTGGTCCACTCCTTCCCGAGGCCGCCAATGTACAAGTGCTCATCCTTCACCGCCATCCACTCCCCTGAAAAGCGAGAGAAAGTCACAGTGAGGGAGACCCGCGGCGTTGCTAGACGACTGGTCAGCAGAAAGTCACTCAAATGAATCCAACGGCCGCTACAGGCAACAGCAACACCCGCAACTGCCAACACCGCGGGCATTTCACGCGGCAAGTCCCGCCACCGTGGGTTGATTGTGAGTACGGCGAGCAGGGTCCAGCTGGCATCGCGGGGGTCGACTGTACGCCGTTAGGATGATTGTGAGTTATTCGCAACGGCAACACGAGTCGGACCGACAGGGTCCAACTGGCATCGCAGGAGCGGACTGTACGTCCGTTAGGCGATTGTGGATTATTCGTAACGGCAACGGCAACACAAGTCGGGCCAGCAGGGTCCAGCCGACATGGCAGGAGCTGACTGTACGTCCGTTGGCCGATTGTGAATCCGTCGCAACGGCAACACAAGTCGGACCGACAGGGTCCATTTGGCATCGCGGGAGCCGACTGTAAGCCCCTTGAGCGATTGTGAATTCTTCGCAACGGCAGCACAGGTCGGACCGGCGGCCCGCGCGTCCCCGGAACGCGATGAACATGGTGCCAGGTGAGCGTTTGGCGATCACGTGCGGCACACCCCGACACTGCCGCCGGGATGAAGCTACCACATAGGAAAAGCAGCGACGAAAAGGAAGCATGTCGACCGATTACAGGTATCTGCGGGGGTTTACGGGAGCATTCGCATGACTACCAATCCCACCACAACATATGGGACTGTCATGGACTCTCCAGGGATTTTGTGATAAATCCCGGACATAACAGGGATTCCATGATGCAAACCCAAGCCCACATATTACGGACTGCTTTCTGTTGGCATAAAACACAGGCCTTAACACATGCCCGAGTGACCGGCTGAATACCCCTCGCTGGGGTGGGGATTAATTAGACCCCCGTAAAATCTCGAAAACTAAGATAACATAAGTATCCGATACTTTGCTACAGCTACAGAAACAAAACTCACAAGGCACATTGACCTATGCATGAACTCACTTGAGTAGAAATTTCAGACTCCTAGGACATGATCTTGTGTTGAACAGGGTCAAACAAGGTCAAACTTCAAACTGGTGTCTCAAGTGCCCAAAACCTACCCATGCAATCCCCGTGAAGCTGGATACCCGTTGGGTATCCAGCTTGGGTATAGTGAATACCCGTTCTAAGAAAAATAGCAATCGGGCCAGTGACCTCGTTTCACCTTCATAGTCTCAAGGTGACCAAATATCTACCAGGCTATTCCTATTTTGTCATTCGACTAAGCGCCAGACATTACGTATAGCGGTATGTTCCGAAACACAAAATGTTGACTTGGGTCCTTCTAAGTCATTGAGCTACTCTGACCTTTCAAAGGTGTCTGTTGCGGTCCCTGTCATAAATGTATTAAAAACGAGCACCAGAAACCATCCCATAAAACCAAACTCCCGAGTAATAATACAGGTTAGTGCTGACCTCGGTCTGACCTTCATACATGACACCAGGTCAATAGAATTAGTTGCAATTCTGAATTCATTTGGTTTGCTGCCTAAAAAACTATCTCAGATATATATGGCTTCTTCCAACGCTCCGCTGTTGCATCACATTGAACGATTCACCAGAAATGCCCTTCGCCGGCAGCCATGTCCTGACTTTGACCCGCCACAGGCCAGCGACCTTACAAAGTACATCTAATTTTGTCATCAACGATTCACTATTCAATTATCTACAGCTCTGAAAAGTATGGGGCGGCTACGCCGTATCGCTCGGAAATCATTCTGGAAAACTTCGGGGGTTACTTTGATCCTCCTACCCAAGAGCATCTTAGCATATAAATAAGAAAACACATATGCTGTAGCATGTACATGGTTCAGTGCTATGTTAATGTGCGGCGACTGCACAACACTCCTTTGTCATACGGCAGTTACATGTGTTAGCATACCACACGACAAAAATTAACCTAAAAAGTAACTTTACCAGCGATTGGCCGACAGAGTTCACTTGTTCGAACACAGCTCAATAACGATCACTCGCAGCAACACTAATTTTTTAGCACTAATTCATCGCTCAATTTGGCATCCTTTGTAAAAATTGGAAGCCTAAGTCTGCCAAGGTCAGTGACTTAGGTCAAGTCAAAAACGTTAAATTCTGAAAAAACTTTGACCACGCACACCTTTCGTGCGCTATTTGTTATTGTTCAAACTGTTTGTCGTAATAGAACATGGCAGTACCTACAGTTTGTTTCTTTCAGATTTCTCAAAACAGGCGAGGTCAGTGACCTAAGGTGAGAACAGTTTTTGACATTGTTCCTCCATAATGGCAAACTGTACGCATTTTTGTGTGGTTTTAGCGTTTGAATATGAGTCAACGACTACTAGCTCACATGCACAACCATTATATAACCACAGAGCACATGACATTGGCCCAGGTCATAACCTACCCTAATTGAAGCCTTCTGTAAAACACATGCCGAACCCAACATACGCAGTTATATTAGTCATTTTGGGCACAGGATTAGACTATTTCGCTAAAAGCATGTTGTGGCATCATTCTAATGCATACTGAAGTTACAATAGATCGCGTAAGGAAATGCAAGGTCATGTTAGGTCACCCAAGGTCGATGGCATATGTTGCCAGTGGCGGAGAACCTAGATGAACGAGCGCGATGCGTGCAACCACCCCTACGTCGTGTTTGTGAAGCTGATGACACATAATGTCATGTATCAACATGCCGGTTCTCAGTTTGTTACGAACGCATCGTCAAGCGTTGAAGGGACTATGCATAATGTATACAAGAGCTTTGCCATCTCGAGTAACAACACACCATTTCTGACCACAGAAAAGCAATGCAGTCGTCAATTAAACCCGATTAGCCACATTTTTCGTTTGGATGGTTTGTGAATTTGACCTATGTTGACCTCACCCGACCTCTAGGTAACCCTAAAACTGCATTTTAAGGTCTGGGATATGTTTTTCCCACAGTTGCATCCTATAAAATAAACTTAAGCCAGAAGCACATTGCGGGAGAAAACAAAAAAATATTGTTCTTGAAAGCTACTGATTAACCAATTTTGAAAGATGACCTGACCTGACCCAACCCTTGTGGGGGGACAAAAATGACTGGAATAGACTCCATGCAGTATTAACACTTGTGCCCTTAATAATAACCTCTTAACGCTCAGCTTTTGTGCTCTCAATATCCGTCTCGACGAATGAACACGTGTTTTGACTGCCTCTATCAGAACGAGCGTTTTTCCTTTCGTGACCTCTGGTAATCTCATATTTGACCTCAGGTCAACAATCTTTTGTGAATCCTTCATGACTTGACGAGACCTCTACACGACTTGACCTCCACAGCGGTATCTTTGTTTTTTTTCTCGTAAGACGTCTGGAGGTAGGAGATCACAAGGGGTAAGTTAACTCCACGGCCGGGCACTGTTGTATCAGACCCCCGGCCTGGCGCAGGTTTTATTTGATTTTATGTTTATTTTCGATTATGGGCATTACTCAGTGCATAATATGAAGAGTGGATTGGCGCATAACCGGAGCGCTTAAATCTGGGCGCCTCTTAAGTCAACTAAAGAGGCGCTCAGAAGCGCGCTTAAGGTAGGTTGAGTACCATCAACTGCAAAAAATGCAGCGTCCAAAATACCACACATTAACATAGAACAAAGAGATGAAGACACTTTTACTACACGCAAACAAAATGTCTTAATCTATCACCGTAAGACATCAAGAACCAACCATTTACCTCACAAACTTGAAATATTTCAAAACATCTCACGCTCGATGTCCCCCGAGCGTGTCCCGTTCTGGCTGTCTTGCCTTCCGACCACCGCCCGCGCCCGGCGGCGTACCCACCTTTAAAGCCCTTGGCCACGGCGCCGTCGCCGTCCGCCAGGATGAGCCAGGGCACGGCCTGACCCGAGGTCAGGCGGTACACCACCCCGGTGCGGTCGTCGACGGAGAGCAGATGACCGTCAAACACGACTAGCTCCGACAGCTCCATACCCCGACCGCCCTGCGTGACGCGCACACCGTGTCAGACCGCGCGCCGTGTCAGACTGCGGCGGTGACCTGGCCTGGGCCGCATTCCCCGCTACCAAACGCCGCCCACAAGCTGCAACCTACGTCATAGGTGTAGATAGTTAGTCATAGTATGACGCCGTAGTAGAAAGTCGTTTGTGTGTGACGTAGGCGCTCACGACGTCAGAGGTAGCAGCCCTGGCGAACGCAGCCCATGTCACCGTGCTTGCCGGGTGTGCTGTGCCGGGGAGCGGACGTGCTGGGACCCGCGCGTGTGGACAGTCGGGACAACGTGGACACACTGTCAGAGACCATACGGACATTCAGGACAACGTGGACACACTGTCGGAGACCGTACGTGTGGACACTCCGGCAGACCACCAACAGGTGGCCAGTTCTTACACCTTGAGACCGTCCTATCCCCGGTAAACGTCAGAACTCGTCTGAGCGTACTGTTCACATCTCTGCTGCCCGGATGTGCACGAGCACATCACAGGCGCGCTTCTCAGACCGTGCCGGAGCGAGTCGGCATCAGTACGCGTCAGGCACCGCAGCTCCGCGCTCCGCAGAGGTCTGCGGGAGGTGCGCGCCGGCGGCTTCGCAACATTCTCACGGCCGCTTCAGCGAGGCCGCAACGGAGGACACGCACCACGGCGGTTGGCTGGCCCACTGCTTGCGTGAACACGGTCCATCGCGTAACACCAATATCGCAGGTGACCCATTGGTGTGACGTGATGAGAGGTACACTCGAAAGCAACCGAGCAGAGAACGGTAAAGCAGCCAAGTGACACAAACCGGATAAAAGCGGAGAGTTATACGGAAAGACTCGACTTACTAGGTACTTTACCAAAAGCTAACGCGACCCAGACCTGACACGCACCAGTCCCTGATCCACACCAGCCCAGTCACCGTTAGACTGACGCAATCACCGCGACCCACCTGCGCCAGTGAAGACGTCAGCGTGACGTCATCCCCGTCCCACCAGACGTCGGCGGCGCGGCGGCGCTCGTCCCAGGAGAGCCAGCCTCGCCGCAGCACGCTGACCCACGCGGCGCCTCGCCGTGACCCCGTGTCCAGGTCACTGATGACGGCCACCCGGTAGCGCACGCCGCCCGTCTTGGTGGCCACCGGACGCGTCAGCGGGTATGTGGTGTTGCACCCGCTGGAGGAAGAGAGGGCGGGGCGGACAGGGGTCAGCGCTTGGAGCGGGCGGCGGCACCGGCGAATCGTTCACTACTGGCGATCCTGTCACGGTGGCACAGTACACGGAGTCACATTGGCTGCTGCGCACCGCAGGCGGGATCGCCCGAGCTTTCAACGACGCGTTCGCCTGGCCCGGCGCGGCGCTGCCTCACGGGAGCCTCGGACAAGGGACGGCGACGGCGGTGATCCCCAGCGGGCGGGCAGCCGGCCAGGACACCAGGCGAGCAGCGTGGCCCGGTCGGTCGGGCCATCCCCCAGCCGTCCCCGTCCCCGAGCCTTCCCCGCCCCTGAGACGTCCCCGTCCCCGAGACGTCCCCGTCCCCCAGCCGTCCCCGTCTCCGTTCCCGAGCCGTCCCCATCTCCGAGCCGTCCAGTCCTCAAGCCGAACCCGTCCCTGAATCAATGGTGAGTCCGTCTCTTTGGATACAGCTTCAGTTTCGATTACAACGTTGGACGTTTCGGTGTCACAGCACCCAGTTTTCGCCAGGGTGTGACATTGGTAGTGGCGCTGCAGTCGCATGCAAACAAAGGAAACGCAACCGGACTAATAGTTACTGAGGCTGGACCCCGCATCAGAACTTCGATATGTCACATTCTGAGTGACACCAGTGGCCCCAAAAACCAGGCCTTGCAAAAATAGTCGAGATTGCCATGGTTGACCCTCCCCTCCACTCCCTTCATTTTGAATGCTACCTGTTCGTTATAACCTCACCACAGGCCCATAGCCATACCAGCCGTAGGACCTTCGAGTCTATGCATTAAGGGCCTTACCTGGGTCCTGATGATGCATCAGGAGTCTCACCTGGGTCCTGACGATGCGTCAGGAGCCTCACCTGTGTCCTGATTATGCGTCAGAGGCCTCACCTGTGTGCTGATGACGCGCCAGGAGTCTCACCTGGGTCTTGACGACGCGTCAGGAGACTCACCTGCGTCCTGATTATGTGTCAAGGGCCTCACCTGCGTCCTGATGACGCGTTAAGAGCCTCACCTGGGTCCCGCCGGGCCGGCCGGCGTCCACGGTTGCACGGTAAGACCCTGCCGACCGCGCTGCAGCAGCAGGTACAGCAGCACCACCGCCGCCGTCACCACCAGACCAGCCACCACGCGGCTCTGTAGGCGCACCGTCGAGTTGCCTGCAGGAGGCAGGCAGCGCCGGCGTGGGCGATAAGGGTCGCGCACCACGTGCGCCCCCCGAGCTGTTGGGGACAGCTCTTGAGGACCAGTTGAATTCGTCTCTTTTCACTACACACAAATAGCTGGTATAAATGCAAAATAATGTGATACTAATCAAGCAGAATCTGGTATGAAATCACAGCAAGAGCACGAAACAGTTGACAAGCAGGTCAAGCATTGAGAAGACAATCAGTTTGGTACACCGAAGTAGTTGAATGAAATCATCATATCATCAAAAATCAATGAAGTGACAACTATAATCGTGTTGCCTCTGAAAAGGATGAAAACGTCATGGGAAACAGACAGGGCGCCCCATATTCAAAGAAGCGTGTATGAAACCAACAGGAACAACCAGTATATGCAAACACGACCCATGACAGGCCCGACTGTTGGTATGTACCACGGGCACGGCCAGTGCCTTGGCGAGGGGACGCACGAGATTGAGGAAAACGCTGTCATTGATTGTGTTATTCTGGCGTCCGGGGGTGCCCAGGTCGACCTGGGGGCCCTTAGAAGAAAACATAGTATCATATTGGTCTCCTCCCTGACGCGGGAGGCCTTCCGACCCGCGCAGATGATCCCGGATTGACGCAGGAACCCTAAATGACGCAGAAAGCTCGCTGGTTGTGGCAGATGGTCCAATAATTGGAGAGGAGCCGACTGTGCTGTGCGGTGTTGGTGATCTCGATCCGAAAAAGACGGGTGCCTCAGGGATCCCCGATCAGTGCAAGAGGCCGTCACACTAACATTTGAGATCATGAACTTTCGGTCGGGGGTCGTTGGTGTGACCCACGACCAGCCCCTTGGGCCCTTCAGTCTTCCAAAACGAGGCATTGATCTCTGCTCTCGAGAGACGATTCAGGTCCCTCTTCGGGCCTCCATAAACAAGGCCCGTGGCCGACCCGGGCCCACTTGCCTACACAAGATTCCCCGTCAGGCACCGTGGGCCCCGGATCGACACAGGGGCCCCGATAGGTATGTCAGGGACCCAGACTAATGCAAACCGTGAAACCCGGTCTCGGTCCTCTTTACGAATTGGGTCCACAGGGTTCAGACCGACGCGGAACCAGCTGCTCGGTGTGAGTGATCTCTGACCGACATAGACGCCCGCATTGTCTCTGGGTCCCCAAGCAATCGGTGCAGAAGGCGCTCTGATTGACAGCGCAGGTCATGGCTATGTGGGCCGAAATCCTTTACATGACCTGCAGCCAGTGCTCCGGTCCCTTATGCATTCCAATCGGCCCTTGATCGTCGGTTTCGGTGGCCCCTTGCCGGCACAGGGTACCCGGTCGGGCGTTGTGGGCCACTGACAGACGATGGGGCCCCAAACAATGTAAATCACTGGCTCCGGCTTTGTCGCTGCTTCGAAAATGGGCAATCAGGCCCACACTGACACGAAGCCGACTGGGCCGTACCGATAGTGTCTGCCGACATATACGCACTTGTCAATCAGGGGGCCCTGATCAGCACAAAGGGCCCCCTGTCTGACATGGGAGTGCCTGGCCCTGTGGGATGGGGCCCCTGAATATGACCTCCAGGCAGCCTTCTGGGCCTTTAAATCCGAACCTAAACTGTTAGTTTGGAGGGACTGAAGTGCACCCCGACCCAAGGGCAGATGACACGTATCCCCTGTGCCCCCCCCCCCCCCCCTCCATCCGCCTGTGCCACTAATTTAGCCTGATAGTATGGCATACACTTGAACAGTGCCCCACATCAGACATCCCATCAATGTTGGCAGAAGTGCATACCCATTTTGTATGTGAGGGGAGTTTGGAAGACAGCTTTCCTCCAGTCTTGCATGGCCGCCTGAGCGGGGGAGCAGCGGTTCTCGGTCTCCACGGTCACAGGCAGTGTGCTGGGGTTGGGACAACCTCAGCCACGGATCTGCCAACAAAGGTGTTCCAGATGAGGCCAGTTACGGAAACTATGAAAACAACAGAAATCACTCATATAAGCCATAAACATAGCCATTGAACACAACATGTCCATGCTTAAAAACAAAGGATTTCAGAATGCATGAAGGTAGCTACTTTCAGGAACTATTCCACATTTACATGGGGTTTTGAACTGAAACACCCATCTTGGAGATCATTTGGTGCAGTTCACAGCCATGCACTCCTTAAGACTTGAACCCCTTCAGATTCTGGGCTACAGGCCTGCAAAGTAAGCAATGCAGACTACTTCAGGAGACTATTGCAAGATCACTGAGGCATCCATGACACACAAATTAGGTTATTCAAATCCTGGTGTTTCACTGGTCATGCTGTGATCAAGGCCAAACATATATCACTGTTGATTTGTTTTCTCCATATCTGTGTGACAGAGATCTCACCCAGCACATATTAGAAATGACTCCTTGCTGTCTTAAGGGATGGGCTTGGGAATTCCACCTGGCATTGTAATAACACTTATCATGCACAACTCACAATTACAGGTTGTGCTGAAAAAAAATAAATATTTCACCCGGCATGACCAGAATAGCAACACTGTTGTAGCAAGTACTTTAGAGCGTGCACACCACAGTTGTGAATGTTTTCTATTATCTATGGGTTCTTCACTTACTTCAGCATGTTCAGAGCCAATGATTCAGAGAATTAAATATTGTGATGACCACTTTTAGCAAAAATACAAGACAGTTGAAAGCAAGAAGTTGAAAATCCTAAGCCAATTAACCTGAACTGATTTCAGCACACACCTGCCCAAGGTTTATCACATTGGTGTCAATAAGAAACCTGACAGCAGACGTATGATAAACAAACTGGATTCAGGCCCAGGGTGGAAAACATAATGGGAAATGATGCCCTGAAAATCTTACATCTCTGCTTTGAGCAGTTTTAAAGGCCCTAGTTTGAGCCCGAGCGTATGAGGTAAGTGCTAAGCATCTGTAATATTTTTTACCAGGAATCGAAATTCTACACGGCATCGACCATGTAGGTAGCTACCGCCTACCGGCTACCTTACATGACGCGGTGTAGAATTTCTAAACATCCGTGAAACTATTCAACACAGGCGTTCACGTCTTACAAACATCTCAGCATGAAATAAGAAGCGTAGCGATTTAATACCTTACTTCGAGAGCAAGCTGCTGCCACATACCTGTCAGGACCTCTTCTCGTAAACCAACGCAGCCGCGAAACAAGCCGGCCTAACCTGGGGCGGAATTGTAGACGTTGGCTTGGGTGGCCACTATGAATGTAGCTGCTGCGTCTTCCTCGTCAAAAAAGGATTTGCTGTATGCCGCTAAATTGTAAATATCCCGATGGAAGCATTCTATGTATGGGATCGTCCAGCGTTTCAAGCATCGTAACGTGTTAAGTGTATAAAAAAATGCATCGCACGTAAAGTTATTCATACCCTACCCCAGTCTCACTGCAGTAGGAGGGAATCAGAACTTAGACTAGACACTTTTCCCACGGCCAGGAGCGCAGCCAGAGCTTTGGTAGTGGGTTGACAAAGGGCCCCGGATGGTGAAAGCCCTGCCCCTCTCAAATGAAATCACCTGACATGGCCTACTCTATTTCGAGGGGTATGACTTTCTTCGTTTTAATTTTTTTTACCACATTTTACGGGAAGAGAAGCAAAATGTACTGAAAAATGCAAGTCAGCGCATTTTGGAGTAACTAAACCGAGGAAAGCGACCACAAGAAGTCATCCGGCAGAGTCATTCATTTAGCAATGATTCAATAGACCTTTCCTAAACCGGTAGTACTCATACTTTGTCGCACTTTGTGCTGGGTTCTACAGAGATGTTGCCGGCTGATTGAACGATATTGTAGATCGAATATCTACAGCGCATATTGTAGATCGAAATGAAGTCACACATTTGTATGAACACGGCTGAACCATGTTCGCCTAAAACAGTTTCATCGTCAGTCGGAATCGATCGCTGGGAAAAATCATGCAGCACCGTTTAGAACACGCGCGCTCGCAAGTACTAAAAATTTGAGGTCCGACGGCCAGCGTTGCAGTCTTCGCAGGCCGCTCGGCGGCGGTCTTGAGGCTGACACTAAGCGGCGGCCACCGGACGGACGAAAAGGACGATACATCTGAAATGAGTACCTCTGAACTGCTTAGGGCATGCATTCATGAGCCTAGAAAGTATTTCGAACGTGTAATTCACCTGTGTGGATAATAGGAGCGAACTAGTGTTTACAACACCGCGCACTAGTGCTGGATGCTAGTGGTGGAACTGGAAGAGTAAAAATAAAATATCTATGTCTCGCGTTGATGCAACCGGTTATCTCATCCAGAAAGAATTTTAAAAGCTATGGAGGTGAAAGAGACACTCAGACTAATAATTTGAAAGGTATAAGTAGAATTCGTGACTCTTCTTGCTTCTGAAATTGCGAGCGTGCAGGCTCAAGAATTTTTCTGCAGTTCGCTTCACAATTCGATTCTGTAAACTGTTGGAGGTTTTCAGACAAACATGGCCTGGGCTTTTGTCATGTTTGACCTTATCTCGACCCACGCTATTGGACAAGCATGATATCGCTTGCCTTTTTCCGGGCAAAGTGCCCAATGGATGGAACACCAGAGGGAGCATAATTGTTCCCGGCCAGTGGTTGAGGGGCCATCATCCCAGCGCGGGGTACCTACCGGCTGTCGTTCTGGTGACACGGGGGCGGCTGATCATACGTTGATGATGATACGTTCTCCCTTGCGCGAGAAGCCCTCTGATCAGGGCAGCTGGGCTCAGACCGAAGCAGGAGTCCTCACTGACGCAACAAGATCCCTGGTCGTCGCAGGGGGCTCCGTAATTGGGCCCCGTCCATGTCCGCGTTCAGCAGATGGTTCTCAGGCCGACTCGGGCGGCAAGGGTCATTCCATTATCACTTGTAGGGCGCTCCCGACCCTTAACGGACACGGGCCCCTCATTGTTTGTGGGACCCGACCATTGCGAAGAGCGGGTTCTGGTCTTGTTCCTGCTTAGCAAATGGGCTCCCAGGGTTCAGACCGACACGGAGCCAACTGTTCGGTGTTGGTGGTCTCTGGCCGAAACAGAGGCCGAAAAGTATTGTTCCAGGGGTTTCTCACTCGGCGCAAGATGCATTCTGACTGGCAGTTGAGGCCTTATGGCGAGAGGCCTTCAAGAGGCCTTCTGACTTGAGGTCACGACGCTACGGGGTGGCATCCTTAATGTGACCTACAGCCAGCCCTTCGGGCCCCTACTCGGGCCCCTCGAACACTTCCTCCACTGGTGTACCTGGCCCACTCGGGGCGCCTTGCCAGCACAGGACCTCCAGTTACGCGCTGTGGTCCCCTAGCCGATACAGTCGGTGGAGCCTCATTGACTCAGGGGCCCCGCCCCCACGAGCATAAATTGCGCGCCTCGGGTTTGTCCCTGTCTGAGACAAAGCTTCTGACCTCAGGTCCAAAACGACATGGAACCGACTGTTTCGTGTTGGTAATGATTGACTGATGTAGGCTGCGGCATTTGACTGACATTTGCGGCATCTGGCTGGCATTCAGGGGTCCGGTACTGCGCGCCGGGTTCCTGAATGTGACCTACGATCAGCCCTTCGGGTCCCTAATCATATGGACCGGGGGGTCCAAATGGCCTCTCGGACCTAATGGGGGAGGGGAGAGGGCACGAGTCCCCTGTGTCCCCCGCTTGTGCCACTTCCCTCGGCCCGCTCACAGTCGTTCTAGTCCCGTTGCTGTTGCTGCTGTTGTAAGCTTACCAAGGCCCTATCACATCGTCTTTTTGCCTTTTCTTTTAAATGCAAGAATAACGTGGTTCATGTATTAGATCGGCCATGTCGTTGGAATATCCCCACACCATTCAACATTTCTTAAAGAACTACCTGCGGTGGGTGGAGCGTTTTTCTTGTCATCAATGAACAATGCGGCATGACGAGTGTAGCAGCAACGGCACCACCTTTCATCTAATCTCACATAACCGATCATTTGCCTTAGCAGAAAATGCTCCTTTCGACAGCTGTGCAACACCAGCTTTTCTTAGCATTCTTTACTCATGTCTCCGGCACTGCACGTAACTGCACGCTCTTAAGACGGGGAAATGCGGCTTGCTGTCTAATCTGTGTGGTGTGGGACGCCCTACAGCTGGCGGCAGTCGCGGCGCGAAGGATTAAGTGACGTCAGAGAGCGTGACAGACCGTGTCGAGCATTGCAGTAAGATAAGCTTCCGCCGAATAATGCCGCCGTTGGCCCGTAGCATCACGATCAGGTGGTGAGGCAATGGCTCATGCAACAAGCGTCACTGGCCTTGGCGCTGATTGGTGGACTCCATGGATTGGGTAAAGCCATTGATACTCATACGGAACATTTTCTTTTTTACATATTTAGTTCGGACGATTTGAGTTGACTGATTTCTGGGATCGGAGCTCATGCTAAGCCGTGGTTGATATCTGAGCACTGAACTCTTCCATCCAATGATGCAATTTCATACCAAGGGTGGAATTTTATGGCGCGAGTGTACAAAGGGCCGTGTTGGGTATGATTTTGAAGGTATTCGGGCATGGGTTCTGGCTAGTCTGCATGAAATATTATGCGCAAGTTGGTGGATGTCAAGCTTAGAAACCATAGGTTTTGAAGTCTTAAAAAGTGCATGACTGTGAACTACATTCAATAATCCTCAAAGTGGTTATCTTAATTCGAACCCTGTTACAAATGGGAAAGCTACCTTTAAACTGTTCCATAATTGTAGCTTAAATGCTCGAAAAACTGAGAACGGGTGGGGAGCGGGTGAGTTCAGCTGATTAGCAAAGAGCGATGGGTGGGTATGAGCACAGCCCCTCCGGTAGTGTATGCCTTTGGTAAAGGAAATTGTACCCGTCAGGGCTTCTAAGGCTGATCCCTGAAATCTATCAACTCAAAATCTTCAAACTAAATTTCCAAGAGCTGTTTATCTGTTAGCGTGCCAGCGGAACCTATCTTATTTACGTGACCGCCTCATCCAATTTTACATGGCAAATTGTTGAAATGGCGTTGATATTTACATCAGTCGTCGTGGTGCTGCAAAAATTGTCACACCGTATCACCCATTCGCGGGCGTGGTGGGCAACTACCGACGCTGTATGACACCAGTGTTCGCCATCGCTGGTAAGAACCGGCTCCCATCACAGCGGGTGTCATCACTCGGCACCCGCAGAGTCGCTTGTCGAGTGAGCAGGAGACGAGCACATACAAGGGCCAGAGACATGTAAACCTTGCAGCATGTTTGTGAAGTTAGCGATTTATTCAGTGATTTGTCAGCGATGGGCTCCTACTTCGAGGCGATTGCCAAACGTCTCAAATGGTCAATTACGGCGCGAAAGCACCGAATCTGACGTCCGTTTTACGTACGGCGTGAACTTCAAGGTCGTAGTCTAGTGATGTCTTAAACCATTTGGAAATTTAACAGTACTCTGCTGACTAGATGCGTTGGAGTGAATCATGAAAATTATACTCAATTACACTACATTGGCGCGAGGGCACTGCCTATCCGTAGTCCGATCAAGTGATTGCAATTCCAAATATATGTTTGTGAGATAATTATTCGGCCTCTTTCATAAGATATTCTATCCTTATGCCCGGACGAAGGACCGAATTCCACCTGTGCACATATTTAACTTTCAAGCCCTCAAGAGCTCTTTAGGCTCTTAAGTGAGTCAGTAAAAGTAAGAGTAAGAACCCTCAAAAAGGGACTGTTTTCATCTCTGGTGCACTGGTATTTCTCTCGCACGTCGTGAGATAGTGTATGGGCTTTGCTACGTGCCGTTCATGGCTGTGATACGGCCGCTGACCAAACCTGTTCTCGCTCTTCCCCGTACATGCGACTCCCTAGGTTTGAAGCGGACCGACGTGCTCACCAGCCTTAAGCGCCCTGCGCCGGACACTCATGCACTGAGACTTACGTCCTAACGCCCGGGACTTTTGGCATGGCCCGCAAATGATACTTTGGTGCAAATAGTACTTCCGAAACGAAAACACTTATGGCGTATTTATAGTTACATTGCAACGTTTCCGATAGATTTGGTTCCAGGTGACAATTAGGATTATCCAGAATTCCGTCGATGACAGAAAATACGCCTTTTCACCCCTGGTTGTCTGCACAGATCGTGACCGCACATCACGCTGTGACGTGGAACTAACAGAAGCTGTGCCTTTCCGCAGGTAGATCTCTTTCATGCCGATTCCCCGTACCACCTTGGGA